ACATATATATCACCATCCAACAGCAACCAGGCAGATGCCATCCAGGCCTTTATAAGCTCGCGGCAGATGGGGTGCAGAGAAGGAGATGGGTCTTCCAGGACAGGGGGGTATTCTGCCACTGTCCGCATGTCATCAGACTTACTAAGACTGCAAAGATCCAAAGACCCAAAGTTGGCCCCTCAGAGGTCCTGTGTCTCTTTGCTTGAGTGGCTGTTGTCTGAAAGTTGTGGTGGAGTGAAGATTGGCCATAAAGAAGAAAAGATGGACAGAATCAGCTCTGTGGTCTGTGGCCGTGCACCAAATGAAGCCCCAATTAAACTCACTGCAAAAGAGGTAAATATTAAACACTAGTACTCCACCGTGCTGCTTCTTGTTTAACTTTTGGCTCCGCCTTCAGGTAAACGTAGAGGAGGAGAGTTCTGGGAAGGAGGAGCCCCCGGTCAGTGTTGAGATTAAGGTTGAGAGCCCATCGGCAGCAGCTGTCTGCGGCCTGCACCACGCCGTGCTGCTTCGCATTCAGGTAAACGCCTTCCTAAACCTACCTTATTCTCTAATTACTCCTTCCAGGAGACTGCAGAACCAAGATTTCAGATTTGCCAGATTTCTAGAACCTTTTAAAGAAAAAGTCTGGTCACATTCAGAATTCAAACTTGTGAAAGGACTTTAAATATAAGATTATGAAAAATAAACATGGATGTCTCCAGTAAAGCACATTCAAATGAAAGTTACTCTTAATTAAAAACATTCATAATTTATTCAACAGTATGTTTATTAAAGATTACTGCCACCTACTGGTTTGTGACGTCACGGTGCGGTATCGGCTGTTGAGCAAGTCTCAGTGCTGTATCTGGTGTTTGTCACAATTCGCTTTTATCCAAGTCATCTTGAAAACATTCTTCAAACTGATTGCTACATATTAACGTGTGTTTTCTCTGGCTAAACGTTCGATACAATCCTGGAATATGAGTAAAACTAGCAGCAGTTCAGCGGACTGGATGAATGAACGGTAGCCGCCAAGCGTGGGTGACGTCACACACATGCCGCTTTGTTTTAAGAAGATATAACTATAAAAAAAATATAACTCTGGATGTCTGGGGGACAGTGATTGGCCTCCATGTTCTGAATGCTGGCGTACCATAAAGAATAAATGATGAACAGTTTAGTTTGTGCCTTCAAGTCGTTGCCCATAGGAAGACGTTACTGGATATAACCTAACAGAATATCTTCAGAACGGCTCCAAATGATACTAAACTCATATGGGTTAGTAGAACATGATGAAATAACGTAAAATCAAGGGCAAAATGTGAAAAAAAAAAAAAAAAAAAAAACGGCGTTCCCCTTTAAGAAAACAATAATTTATTTAGATTTCCATGTCTTCCATGTCTTGGCTCTGATTTGAAGGCCTGCTGTGTTCCTGCCTCCATTTCATCTCTAATGTTCTCTAACGAACCTCTGAGGCCTTCACCCAGCTGCTAAATTTAGACCCAGATGAATTGGCACATAGATGGGCTCTTTACTAAATAAGTGGCTTCTGGGGGCCAATTAGTTCTAGTTGATGTTTCATGTTTATGTGTTTTTAACTGTAAACTGATAAAACAAAAATGTTTTCTTATTGTAATAGAACCGAATAGAATGATGAACTAAAAAAAGAAAACCAGATGTCTTTTTTGTCTGTTTATTGTCTAAGTTGTATAAATCTGTTCTAACACCTCTCATGTTCTTGCCTTATATGTGGTATAAAGACAAGGTTTGCATTTTAAGAATCGGCTCTGTTCTCTTTCATAGACTCTGCTGCAGAAAGCTCCTGAAAAAGCCTGTTTCTCTATAAAGGAAGAGAGTTCTGGTTTGAGACAAACTCTACAGCGAGCTGAGGTAATTACGTTCACATATTTCCCTGCATTTAGCTCTTCACTTGCTTTACTAGTCCTGCAGCAAGATGGTACCAAGTGATGAGCATCATTAAATTGGGTATTTAGTCTTTTCCCACTCTTCTATGAAGTCTTTATTTGATCCTTCTGTTTCTTTCAGTCTCAACGAGGTCAAATCTCAGAGGCGCTGAGTGTGGGCATGTCCTCTGGGCAGATGCATCAGATTCTCCTCAGTGTTTACCAGCAACTCAGGGACAGTCCTCTCCTCATAGTCTAACACCTACTCAGCTGCCCTCGTTCTTGCTCAGCGTTCAGCATCCTGATGATGAAGCAGCATTCATGGTTCCTAATGATCCTCCCTGTAAACACCCGTTAAATGCCTCTTGATCTCCGACAACAGAGGATCCGGGGCATGCCTTCAACCTTCCACCTATTAGCTGTGCTTTGGGACAGCATTCATGCATTTTGAATCTTTGATGTATTCATTTTTAAAACCACATTCTTCAATATATTTGATTGGATTTTAGGTGTAGGAAGTTGGAAGGCAAAAGATCTACAGGTTCATAAGTTGTTTTTTTTCTTTCTTTAAATTCAGCTGCTACCCTCTTCCTTAGAGGTATGATTCTTCATTTTTTTACACCTTGAAACCGTAGAGTGCAGGATTCATAGCTGTGGATCTCAGTAGCTCATCCAGAGGAAGAGCCTATTGGCTGCTCCCTTCCAGTTTATGTTAGCAGTAATCTTGGTATGTTTTCACTTGTCCCATACTCTGTCTATTTCTAAATGCTTGAATAGTGACCCTTTAGTTTGCTGACCCAACTCTGCTTTGAATCTCTTTTTTTTCCCTGATGTTCTATATTGAAACTCTCATGCCTTCACAGATCAGCTAGATTTATGCTAAGAGGAAACTAAAAACATGCTGTTTAACCATTAATTAGAATCTAAAGACAATTATTTGTGTTTTGTTGGACAAACTAAAGATTTTCTGGTGTTATGAAGGGAAATTAGGAAAAAAATATGTCCACACCAGTTGTAAGTCTTCATGGTTTTTGGCCTGTCTTTTAAACTCTAAATGTACTTTTTTGTTACTATTTAAAAGTTTGTTGGATTTTGTGTTTAAGTCTTTTTTGATTGTAAAAACTGAAGGAAAAGAAGAAAATAAAATATATTGAAAAGAACTTTTCTACATGTACTTGATTGTTTTTCAGTTCCTTAGAGCTGGAAGACATGGATTGATAAGTTCCCTGCCTCTGGCGATAGAACGGCTGTGCAGACACCTGAAATTGGCGCACAATTTATGTATTCTGATCGAAGAAGAGTTTCGTACTGAAACCTGACTAATCTAAAAAATTTGTTGTAAAGGACTACAGAGAGCATAGGGAGTATTTATTCAGCAAACTGTTCATCCACAGTCTACATAGAATCCATATGGAAGCTTGTGCCGGAGCTGTGATTGGCTGCAAAGTTGAAACCCCGGATCGGTTTCCAGGAAGAAGATCCTTCACAGAACTAGGAAAACACGAGCATAACTTTGGGTAGGATGAAAAGCAATTGAACTGAGAGACGTGTGGGAGGAGCCAAAAGAGAACGTACATGTGATAAAATATAAAGGGGAAGATTTGAATATTTACTTGTTTATACAGTCAAGAAAAAAAGGTCATAACAGTGATAATTACAGTTAGTGAGATTTAGGGTTAGCTGATGCTGTTTAGTGAAGTGGACGTTGTATGGATGTTTTAGAACAACGGCAGGACACTTGTACATGATCGCACGAAGACATGTTCATTGTATAATTTCAGGATTTTCAGAATCTAATATAGAGACAGAGTTTGGGGAAGAAGAAGACGATTCCTTCTTTCACTGAAGCTATTCATGTTTACAGGCTTTCCACTAGATGAAAGGAGAGGCAGAGAAATCAATAAACATTATTTGTTACAACAAAACACCAGGACAGAGGTAAAAAAAAAATCCATGCAGGGGTCTCTGCACCATGTTTAGCCTTCACCTGAACTATTACTTCTATAAAAGTTTCACAACAAGCAAGTTTCAGTTGTTGTCAGGTCTTTGCCTAATCCTGTCTGAATATTTGACCAGTCTTCCTGTGATAGAACTTCACATCAATGGACACCAGCTAGGAATAAAACTGATTTTAATTTATGAACTTTATGCACAACAAACATTTACAGTCTCTTACATCTACAGTTCAAAAAGCAAAATGATAGACAAGTCAAGGTGAGGAGTTTAAACTTGAAACCTTTTATGTTAGGCATGGTGGTGGTGGTGTCATACTTTGGTTCTGCCTACTGATATGCATTAGGTTTGCAAAAAGAAAGAGTTGTGATGGAATGAAATTCTTTAACTTCCCCATTAAATTAAGCTGGAAGGTTTAAGTTAAACAGTTGGGCCCTGGGATGATTTAAAAATATAAAATCTAGCTCATAACCGGTTAGGAATAAGACACAACACTTGACCTCTTTTGAAATGTATAAACTCAGTTTAAGGTCTGGGTCTTTGTGAGGAAACTAATTTCTGAAAGGGATGGTTGTCTGTTCTGCCAAAAGTCAGTCTGAAGCTTCATTTCCCAAATGTAAATTGAAATGATAAAACTTTTTTTTCATTGATTCTGGTTTTGATAAACATTAAACTTAGTTGTTATAATTAAAGGACATCAATATGCATAATTTAAACTAAATATTTGACATATAAATGTATAGTGATGGTAACTTCTATACACAACTGGATGTCAGTAGCTGCAATTATTAATATTGAAGACAAAAACAATTTAGTCTGTTTGCATCAAAATACGCCCACTTGTGACTGAATGTATTTATTTCCATAGTTTCAGACATGACCTGGTGCTTATGCATCACATCTACCAGAAAATGATCGGAAAGTATAACACCAAACAAAGTTGATCTATTCTATGTTTGAGGCTACAAATGTGAATACTTTTGTTGGTTGAATATACTGCATGGTCAGTTCTCCCTTTTTCTTCACCTTCTATTTGCATATGTGAGTCTCTATTTCAGCTAAATGAAAGGACAACATGATGTAACAATAGGTGTTAACGATTTTACTTATTAGAGGTGACATGAAGAGTAGGGTGTTATATCTGCTCCACATTAGTTTGACTCAATACTCCCATAGAGCAGAGCTGCTAAGACTCAGTCCATCTCCCTTGAGTGTGCCCCCCTGGTCTCCACGTAAGTATTTGCCATTTTTGCCTCTGATAGCGAGGCGTCCGCGCTCCAGAAGCTCCAGAGTGAAGTCCTCTGGAGCCTCACCATCTGAGCACACCAGCCCACCACTGTTCACATACCAGTACCGCCCATCCACACCTGTAACATCACAAAAGACAAGCAGTTAAGTAGAGAAGCAGCAAGTTGGAGACCAGAAAAGCAGTTGCATTTGTGACCTTTAATATGATAAGCTCCATTGCTATACTGCAGGGTGAAGATGTCATAGACAGATCTCCCAGCATCCAGCGTGTTGGAGTTCTTGTGGTGGCAGATGAATCCATTAGCTCCTCTCAGGATCAGCATTGGCCGGTTGATCAGTTTCAAAGTGAGCTGCTCATCCTCACCTGACAAACATTCAAAAAACACATTTGAGGAAATAAGCAGAGGAAAGGGTTTAAGGAGATGAGGTCCAGGTTTAAAGAGGCAAAAGGTCACCTATAGCGTCACTGACTGCAAGCAACTGGCCGTTCTTCTTGGTGCAGATATATTTGCCATTGCTTGCTTTTATTGCCACCTTGTGGCTGAGCCATTCCACTGAAAACATTGTATCTGCAGATCTATGGATAAAACATAATGGATGCTTGATTTGTCATAAAATATGAGTAATTTGAATTTAAAAAAACTTGCTGCTATAATGCATGAAAGCATCTAGCCATTGTATTACTGGTCATTCTTACCAGAAGACAAGAACTTTATTCTTTAAGTGGTTCTTTTCAGACATCTATGCATTTTCATTTCTTATAATAGCAATTGATTGCTCATCAGGGCAACAATTTACTATCTCTTGACTTCTAGTATTGGTGCAAAATAAAACTGTCACATGCAAATGTTTGCTGTACCAACTTTCCCTTTGTACACCTGATACGGCAGATCCACTCACATTTCTGTGGCAGTGCTCTGGATGCCTCCATGCGCCACCACAGCCCAGTAATACCCTTGGCTGGTGCGGAAAGTGCACATCTTGCTTTCCCTGTCGATCTCCATCTGAAATGTCTCCATGTCAGTTTCATCTTCTTGATTGGCGGCGAGGCTTACACCTGGGAGGGTTACATTAAGGAAAGAAACAACTTTTTAGGTTGGCTTGTATTGCCAGCAGTAGCCAGCCTACTCACCTGGTCCAATTAGCAAATATCACAGGTAATCTGATATTTAACTAGAAAACTCTAGTAAGACATGTCTTTTTCAGATTTAAATACTGACTTCCAAAGTAATGAAAAATAAATGCAGTTCGCAGAACTAGCTAATAAGAGTTTTTTTTTTTCCATTGGAACATTTAAGAAAATATGTACTTTTAGTTGGAGTTTTATTGTACTTCTTACTTACGCCATAATGAACTTTTTGAAGAGTTTCAGTCTGGCTTTAGAGCTCATCATAGCACTGAAACAGCTCTGGTGAAAGTCACTAATCATATTCTCATGGCCTCAGATAATGGACTTGTATCTGCGCTCGTCCTGTTGGATCTCAGTGCTGCATTTGATCCAGTTGATCATAATATTCTTTTAGAAAGACTTGAATATTTTGTTGGAATTAAAGGAACAGCACTAGACTGGTTTAAATCTGATCTATCTGATCGAATTCAGTTTGTTCACGTTATTGACAGATCTTCCTCATGCTCAAAGGTTACCTGCGGAGTACCACAGGGATCAGTGCTAGGACCAATTCTCTTTACTATATATATGCATGTCTCGAAGAAATAAAAAACCTGGATGGTGTTTAACTTTCTGCTTCTGAATGCAGACAAAACAGAAGTTATAGTCTTTGGACCAGAGTCTTTGAAAAAGAAGCTGATTAGCCAGTCACTTCATTTGGATGGGATTAAACTGATTTCAGATAATAAAGTAAAAAATCTTGGTGTTGTTTTTGATCAGGACCTGTCATTTAAATCCCAGAGGTTTCTAGAACTTCCCTCTTTCATCTGAGGAATATTGCAAAAATGAGAAATTTCCTGTCCAGGGGTGATGCTGAGAAACTAGTCCATGCTTTTGTTACTTCAAGGCTGGACTATTGTAATTCTTTACTATCAGGAAGTCCACAAACTGTAGTTAAAAGCCTTCAGCTGATCCAAAATGCTGCAGCCAGAGTTCTGATGAAAATGAAAAAGAGAGATCACATTTCTCCTATCCTGGCTTCTCTTCATTGGCTTCCTGTTAAATCCAGAATAGAATTTAAAATCCTCCTTCTCACATATAAAGCATTAAATGGCCAAGCTCCATCTGATATCAGAGATCTGATTGTTCCTTATGTTCCTAATAGAGCACCCCTGGATGGGGCCGCCTTCTACAGCTGCTTCTTGTATCTCTGCTTCTTTTTCTATGTCTGCTTCTGTCTCCTTGAACCCCAGTGGGCCTCAGCAGATGGCCGCTCACACTGAGCCTGGTTCTGCTGGAGGTTTCTTCCTGTTAAAAGAAAGTTTTTCCTCTCCACTGTCGCTACAAGCATGCTTAGTGTGAGGGATTGCTGAAGAGTCAATGAGTCGATGCAATCAGCTGGTATGATCCAAACTGCTTCCCTTTAATGAAAGAAACTGGATTAGAAAGCTTAGGAAAAACTGGGCAATTCCGGAACACAATAAACTAAAAGGAAACCATCTAGAATGAAGTCCCTGAGACAAAATTAATGCTTAATGCTTAAAATTAAAGTTTTCCCAAAAATGTACCCCCATTGGTAAGATAAAATCCAGTTTTATGAGATTATGAACAGGTGAAGAATAAGCTTTTCAGCCACACTGACATGTGGTATTCTTAGAGAAATCAAAGTAAGGCCTTTAAACTGAAAAACACTTGATTGTGGTGGAACCATGTTATGGTGAAAGATCTTGAATCTTACTCTAAAAGAGTGACAGATAGCAATCCCATTGTTTATATGAATGTTTTTTTTATTTTACGAAACCAAAGCGCCATCTCAAAATGATTATTTCCCCTCCAAAGAAAAGACCTTTTTCTTAACTACATTAAAACGGCATTAGTTAGCTTGCAGTCACGCCTTTTACTTTATTGTAGTTATTTTCAGCTTATAACCTTGATGACGGAGCATACCAATCAGTTCAACTTGGAGAGACTCAAAGATTTTCTTGATATGATTGAGGTAAGTTCTTTGGGGCTTGGACCCCGGCAGAATACTTGGTGCTGCAAATTGACATGAACTCTGATGAATACTTTAGGAAAAGGATTAAAGTAGCTTTTCCTCCATGGTATAGGCCAGAGGATGGATGACACTGAGAATAGCCTGAAAGTGAGACGGGTGGAGGTGGGTACATGTTCATCTGGTAAGCAGAAGATCCTGGATGAGTATTAACTTCAGAGGGAGTGCTGTCCGTATGTCCACTGGTTGGAACTTTAAGCATAGCACATTGCAGGTGATCAAATAGAAGCTGATTAGAGTCTTCCAGGTTAAATTTGCTCTCCAGCTTCATTTATTTGTTAGACTTTTTTTTTTCAATCAAACATGATTGATTCTTTCTCTGGGGTGGTCAAACTTTCTGCTGAGAACAGATGTTATGGAAATGCAATGACTATAGCTTTAGGTGAAGCTTAAGTGGATATCTGTTTTGCACGGTTCAGAAGTCAAGGGCATCAGTCTCCCAAGAACAATCAGTACATGATATAAAGAAAACGTATGAGTTCCCATGCATGTTTTTGGAGCACCTATTAAGTGATAGCAAGATATTATTTATTATTCTAAAATGAGAAAACAAAACATAATGGCAAGTTTAGTGATAGAGTGCAATAGAGATCACAGAGGGAGCAGACTGAGTGATTTGCACCTTAGGAAAAGTCTCACTTAAGCAAGTCTCTTGGAGAGCAATTATTTTTCATCTTGCTTGCGTAGGCATTGGACATAAACACAGATGTTTCTGGTGAAATATCTGTAACACCCTTCCACTGGTGTGACTTCCTGGTGCAGGAATAAACAGGTAGGTTTATGATCAATCTGTTCTTCTTCAATTCATTCCAGTTCATTTCTATAGCGCCAATTCAAAACATGTTGTCTCGGCTACAACAGCGGCTATTACATTTGTGGAAAATGTATTACATTTGCAGAATTATTACTTTAAAAGCTGCATATTTTTTTTTATCACGTTTCTGGTTTATTTCATTTGAGGGCAGTGTTTCATTTGTGGGAGTTACTGGGATATTTTTTTTGCTACATCTAGAATAAGGACAGGTTTCTTTGTTGTAGTAGATAATGTGTTGCTATTTGGGATGTTGGAATAATTATCTATTTGCCTTGCAATTATCTTCAAATTTAGTTTTACGTTAGATTTTTCTCCCTCCCCAAATATATGATTGCTCACTCCGTCAAAAGAAAAACAACCTTCCAATTCCCGGAGAACTGTCTGCTGCCAAAGAGGTTACACAAAAGATTTGACTCTTTTGAAGCAGTCCTTTCCTTAAAGAAAGGAAAAAAGAGTTGCAGAATACTTTGTGAATATGACATTTTAAAGCAGATGCTCTGCCTTGAGTAAAATGGTCATGACAGTGTTAATCCAATTTTTTAAAATATTCTTCTGGCCATTTGAAAAGAGTCTGCAAAGATAAACTGAGAAGAAGGTGTGATATGTGACAAGGATGTCATGCTTACTGAGCTGCTGGGACAGTTTAATCAGATCCTATTCACACCTAATAAATGAGGTATCATTAGGTCTTACAGCTGGTTAAATTATCATTGATCTTAAGTGCATCTGAAGCTCAAATTTAAGCCCTTCCACTCCATAGCTACGCCTGGGGGGCTTAGGACTCCCATTCTCTCTCATCTCAACTCAATGTCATGCTTAGTCTACCTATTCTATGTGTCTATTTCACACTAATTCAACCCAGAAATGATCTTCAGACAGCGCTCAGCTGGGACCTTATAGTAGCTGTCTGACAGATGAGACAAGAGGAGACAGTGAAAGGAAAGGTGGAGGAAAAAGGAAATAGAAACTCAGAAAGAGGCGAAAGGATGTGCCCTAATCCGAGTTGGCATAATTATATAGCATTGTTGATGACCATCTTAGAAACACTTGATGAACAAGAAACGGCATAAAAAAAAGGACATGACACGTAACAGAACATATCAATACAATTACAGCTGCTTCTGAAAAACACAGAGATATTTACAATAGTATCTCATATCAGATCAAAGCCAAGATTTAGCTCCCCTTCCTTTGGTTATCCTACATACCAGTCTGGAAGTGGGGCAAACTAATCCATCAACAATAGTTGGCTCTGACATCAATTATTAATAGTAAGCCGATGCCACTATTCCTGCATCCCTTATTATGCTCACTCTCTCGAGCTTTTCATCCATCACCAGTACACTTTCCTTTGTTTAGTTTTTATACTTGGGCTTTTTATATGAAAGTGTTAGGACAGCCTGTCTTTTTGAAAAAAAGTATTTTACGGATTTTACACACAGTCTTTTTCCATATGGGTTCAAGGAGATCAAAAAGGTTATTGGAGGCCAGTGAATGGTCATTATGAGACCCAAAGTTGCACATTGCATAAAGTGAGAACCAACTTAAAGCATTCCTACATTAAAAGTTAATATAGACTTCAACATCTTTATCTGCTGCTTTTGTTCTGCTTTTTAAAAGCCAACAGTCTTAAGCCCAGATTATCTTGCTACAAAACATTTCCAAAAACTGGACTGAAAGAGAGATCATTTATAAAACTTTAATGATTGGTATTGAGCTTCTGTTACTGTTTTGCTATATCACTGTGTCTTTGGTGCATTCAAAACCTGTGTCGCAAAAAAAGAGAAAAAATATGCATAAAATAATGAGAAGATAGCCTTTACCTTAAACGTTGGACACAACAGGCAATATCTAGGACTTTTAATTTGCACCCTTTTTATGGTACAAAACATTTTCACAACTAAATTCAATTTATCATGGTCTTAATAGTTAGAGATCTAATTATTTTTTACTTGGAGTTGCTCTAGTTATGCTGCTATAGGCTTAGGCTACTGGAGGACATGGGAAGCAAGTTTCCCCCCTCTCTAAATTCTACTTGTAATTTCCAGTTTTGCATCATGTGCAACTCATTTCTAATGTTCT